TAATAAAATTTAGCCTTCCCAAAATTAAATGAGTGAGCGATATTTAAAATAAATTAAAATACACTCTCTTTAAAATGCAAAGTAAAAGCAACTAGGTGCTCTCAAATACAGTGCTTGGCCATGTGTCTGCATGTGCCAATCACAGCTGTTCCCTGCACCGTGCAGCTTGAAGTTTCATGAACCGGGCCCTATACTGTGAAGCTTGTTCAACATAGCCAGGATATCTTTCCCTTATCTAGATTATCTTACCCTAACATTGGTGATAAGAATAAATGGTCACATGAATGGGGTGGTTCACATGAAAAGGGTGGCATTGTCAGCATCTAACCAATCATTAAGGGGATTTAACAGATCATATGACCTCCACAAAAATTGTCTGCATGACTACCATCTATTCCAGAGATGTTACCAAATAGTAATAAAAATCTTAAAGAAGAACATAAAAATATACCAGTAAAATGGAAATTCCCATGACAATGTGATGTATACTTTGCACTTCATTCAGTAGTTTTAGGAAGGTACAGCTTGACAACTTGCACTTATAAAATATATTCCCCAAGCAGAGTGTGCCGGTGTGTGGTTTATGGCTCAGCTGCAGTGGAGGGGTGGAGTGGTGGGTTCAGGGGACAGTGCCAGGGAATGCTGGCCAGGACTGCTGATAGCCATCACGTTAACCATGCCTTCCCTATTTCAGCAGCTGCCAGGGCCCTGTGGGAGAGCTGGTGTTTGGAGGTGAAGGAAGTGGCTGGAAGCTGCAGAGAGGTCACAAAAGTGAAAAACATTATGAATAAACACATACTTACCTTTCAAAACTGTGTATAGTGGGTCTTTTTATAACAGTGGTGCCAAAACCTGGGCTGTGGTATGGTGGACCTGTGACTGGCCTAGCCAATTGAGGTGCTGGCCCCGATGGTGGTTGAGCTGGTGGCCATGCATTGGGAGCAGGTGGTGGTGCATCATTGGCAATTAGAACAGCTACAAGACCAGTCAAAGAGCCACATAAAGGAGTTGGAGAGTGGTTGCTCTGCTTGTTCCTCAATGACACCACTAGAGTCGATGGGGGAAGGAGATGATCTTCAGGCTTTCTCAGATTTCTTTCAGGCAACAGCAGAAAGACCTGAGGAAAAGTAAAGGCTGAGACTACTCCCAGTGCCCAGGCGGTGACTCTCAACTTAGAGAAGATGGCCGTTGGCTGGTAGTGGACCAATTAGGCCTCGCACCACCAAATCAGCGAGTGGGGCTCCTCGCAGATACTGCAGAGTTGGTCCACTGCCACTGACTGGGCAGCTTGGATGTTGTTGTGACCCTGCCCAAGGATTACCTTTCAGCGCAGCTGAGGGAGGTGGTGGGGGTCACAACATCGGCTGGAAGCCGCCCAGTTCTCAGAGGAGGAGGAGACAGAAGGGCCTTCTCTGGAGGCTCTGTCAGGTCCAGCTATCTAGTCCACAGGAGATTTTCCACTACGGTAGTTTGGTGACGACACTTCTATAGTTGTCATTTGACTAAGTGATAAAAACTAATCACACACGGATCAAAAGTACACTGACGTTATTCTATGAATATGGAATAAGAGGTCATATGGGTTATGCCAAAACTTTGGAGCAAATAATGGTCCAATTTTATTGGCCAGCCATTTGGGGAATTCTAAAAGTGTCTTTGTGCATAACTGTTAATTGAGGTTCTGTTTGAGGGCATCAGCTTGAACCTCATATGTCATTTAATTGAGGTGCATAGGGATTAGGGCTGGGCGATATGGCCTAAAATTTATATCGCGATATAATTTGAAGCATGTGCGGTAACGATATATATCACGATATGTTCTTTTCTTCTGTATAACGTATTTTCCACACTATAAGGCACACTTAAAATCCTTTAATTTTCTCAAA